TTGATCAGTGTTACTGAGCGACTGCATCTCAGAGTTCTTTGACGATAACAAAATAAAATCTCAAATGAAGTTTGAGACTCAGTAATTGCAAAGTCATTGCTACTGGTTTTGGTTTATAAGGAAATAATAGATGTAAAAATTGTACAAAGGATAAAGTGTTCTAATGAGTAAGGGTAATTGAATCAGGAACACTCAGTTTAGCCCACTCTTAAGCCAGAATTTGTAGCACAAACCAGATGTCAGCAAACTTGAAAAAAAATTAGATTGCTGAGAGAAGAACATCCAAACATCTGCGGTTTTCTTTGGCCCTGACTAGAGCATAGAATTTTCTCTAGGCTTAAGTTCTGTGAAGAAGCTGCCTCTTGCTGTGTTGGGTCGGAGGTTTATTCTCATTATTAGTGAACATTTCTTATTGTCCTCCAGTATTTCTAAGGCACCCAGGAAAGATCACATTAAGTTCCCATTTGTAGATTAGCCTTATTTTTTCTACAGTCACACTCCGAGAGAATAAATAATCTGACCGTTGTCATCCGAAGCTGAGTCTATTACAGCTCACTTACACTCTACTCAATCTAGCCATGGGGAGCTTTACATTTTGTTAGTTTTCCAATGCCTAGGCACTGCAGAAATATAAATATTACTCTAATTCCGTTAAAGATCCTGAACTAAGAGGGGTTGTATTTTTTTTTTTTAGATTTATTTATTTATTTATTTGACAGAGAGAGCACAAGTAGGCAGAGAGGCAGGCAGAGAGAGAGGAGGAAGCAGGCTCCCTGCTGAGCAGAGAGCCCGATGTGGGGCTCGATCCCAGGACCCCGGGATCATGACCTGAGCCGAAGGCAGAGGCTTTAACCCACTGAGCCACCCAGGCGCCCCAAGGGGTTGTATTTTTAATATACCTCATCAGAGTTTAGAATGTATACGTGAAAGAGTTTGAACCACTGAGTTTGCAGTTAAGTTTTCAGTTTGCAATTAAAATACGTTTAATTCAGGACACCTGAGTGGCTCAGTTGGTTAAGTGTCTGCCTACGGCTAAGGTCATGATCCCAGGGTGCTGGGATCGAGTCCTACATCTGCTCCTTGCTCACCCAGAGCCTGCTTCTCCCTCTGCCTGCCACTCCCCCCTGCTTTTGCACACATGCTCACTCACTCGCTCGCTCTCTCTCTCTCCCTCTCTCTGGCAAATAAATAAAATCTTAAAAAAAAAAAAAAGTGGGTTTAATTTGCACAAACAGGTTTATTAGCCCCTCCCTTCTCTCCCTAGGCTGTGGCCACTGATTTCCAGAATGAGAGTGCGGCAGCCCTGGCTGCTGCAGCCACTCGGCATTTACAAGAAGCTGAGCAAACCAAAAACAGCGGTACCGAACACTGGTAAGAGTGAGCAGGAGATACTTAACTTAGGAACATATTCTGGGCATCAGATCTGAGACAATCAAATCCTTGCTTTGAATCATGTGTTTTAAAGTAGTTCTTCCCAACCTTCAATAATTGGTTACAATGCTTTTATTTTACCCTTTAATTTTAAAAGCTCGGAGGGAAGGACTTTAACTTTGTTTTTAATTAGAGAAATCTGTTTATCTAAATGTCACTGTTTTCAGCTCTAGATTTAGGTTGGAAGGACAGAAAATGGACTTTTTGGGTCAGATTGTGCTGGAATGCCCTTTCAGGTTTCTCTCTCCCTCAGGTGTTTGTCATTTTGACAGTGTAGTTTGTTTTACCAGACTGTGGTATCGCTTTCTCAGGTGGAAGATACACGAGGCATGTATGCTTGCCCTTGGCTCAGTGAAGTCCATCATCACGGACAGTGTGAAGAATGGCAGGATCCATTTTGACATGCATGGGTTCCTGACCAATGTCATCCTTGCAGACCTCAACCTTTCAGGTATGTTTCAGCACAATGCCAGGATTCTCAAAGATACTTAAACCTGTCATCATCTTGGTTACATTGTTCACTTAGATAGGTAAACCAGGTATTCATGTGTCCTTTGGGTAAAAAGTCTTTCTACACTAGAGCTTGAACTCATCTGAACCACTAAAACAGCCTAGAGACCTTGACTCAGCTTTACCAACTAAGAAATATTGCCGCATTCATAATTTTTCCACTCTGTTCACGTTTCCTTCCAAGTCACTGCTTATATTTATGGCTGGTTTTAGCATTTGAATAGGATGCACATTTGGGTTTTACTGTACCTTGAGAACTTTGGCTTGAGTTTTGTCATTATTAAGTCCAAAATACCTTCAGGTGGTTTGTGTCAGGCTCATTCTTCCTGTTTGTTTCCTGTCATTTTTCTCAAACTTTATTCTTGGCCAGTATCCAAATGATTAAAATGTTCCATTTTCAAGTCCATGTTAATTACTTGCCTTTAAAAAAAAAAAAAAAAGTTGGCTCTACTATATTAGACTCGGATTTCTCCAGCAATGCAGAACAGTAGCTAAGAATTACCATCTCTCTATTTGACATCTTCGGCTATGTTGCTTCTGCCCATGCCATGCCTTATTCTCTTCCTTAGACCCACCCACCCCCACCGTCATTACAAAAGGCCATCTTCGCTTTCTCCAAGTACATAAATCATGGGATATTTGGCATTATTTGCTCCATTCCCAATCCATTCACATGCCTCTCACTCATAGACTAGCCCTTCGAATAGCCGAAGCCATTTGAAAACATTCTACTCTGGGGCACCTGGTGGCTCAGTGGGTTAAGCCTCTGCCTTCAGCTCAGGTCATGATCTTGGGGTCCTGGGATCGAGTCCCGCATCAGGCTCTCTGCTGGGCAGGGAGCCTGCTTCCCCCTCTCTCTCTGCCTGCCTCTCTGCCTACTTGTGATCTCTTTCTTTGTCAAGTAAATAAATAAAATCTGACTTTAAAGAGGTAATGTGTTATAGACTATCTCACAATGTCACTTCCATTCTCTGACTCACGAAGTTACAGTGGTTGAACATGAAGAGCTCAGGCCCACTGGGAATATCCTTTTTCACTCTGCACTTACGCTGATGAATGTTTTCTTTCTCGTTCTAGACTGTAAGGTTTCTGAAGGTAGAAATCATGATGCTTGTATCCCACAGTGCCTTGCATGTATTAGGCATTTCATAATTATGTGTTGAATGAAAGTGTTGAAATTTCTTAAGCCCATCAGTATATTTTTTGTAGAATTTGTCCTAGTAAAGAACCTTCAAAAATTCATGGAGACTTGAGAATATTTGTAATTGACTGGGGCAAAGTTTAATATATAGCATTTATTATCCTGCCAATAGCTCGAAGCTTTTCTGCATCAGCCATTCTCAAACTTTCTGGTGTCAGGACCCCTTTACACTTAAAAATTACTAGTGATCTGAAAGAGTTTTTCTGTGAATTTTATGTGTCAATACTTAGCATATTAGAAATTGAAACTGAGAAGTTTTGGGGCACCTGGGTGGCTCAGATGGTTAACATCTGACTTTTGAGTTTGGCTGAGGTCATGATCTCAGGTCGTGAAACTAAGCCCCAAATCGGGCTCTGCACTGGGTGTGGAGTCTGCTTAAGATTCTCTCCCTCTCCCTCTGTCTCCCCCACTCTAAAATGAGTAAATAAATAAATCTGAGAAGTTTGTAAAATATAGGAAATGCTAACATACATTTCATTAGCTGTCAGAGCCATGGTGCACACATCAGATCACTTCTGCAAAACTCCACTGTATACTTAAGAAAGAACGAGAATGAAAAAGATGGATCATAACTTGGTATCACTATGAAAGTTTCAACTTTGGGACTCCCAGGAGTCCCTGGGCCATACTTTGAGTACTTCTGTATGATGGAAATTTGTATGTGATTATCTGACTGGCAAAGGTTGTTACATTCTGTTCAATAATTCTCAACAACTACATGTTTACGAGTGACTAAGGTTGGCCCTGTGATAAGCTGATTAAGTACAGACTCTGTCTTCAAGCAGCTTATAGTAGGCAGAGGGTAGACATCCTCACACTGGTGGCTAGAATAACCAACAAAATATGTAAGAATATATAAGAAAGCTAAAGACTAGCACAGAGATAGTTAGGATTACTTCAGCCTAAGAGATCAGTTGTATGATGCAAGTAGGGGTGAATGTGTTGGCTTATATACAAGGCACAGAAATGGCAAGGTAACGTGCGAGTTGCTGGGATGGGTATGTGCTTGAGTTCAGAGTCCATAAAAGGAAATCATTGATAATGCTAAAGCTACTGATCATAGGGGGCCTTAACTATAATGCTTAACTAAAATGGTCTTTATTTGGTAGACTATGGAATTTATTGACCGGTACTAAGTAAAACAATGATAGCTATAATTTATATTGTTTCAGTAGTGGTCCAGGAGTAGGAAAAACTGGCAATGGAGACATTTAGAGGACTAACTAGTGGTGCTGGTAAAGGATAATGAGAGGTAGGGAGGGGAATGAAGGAGGTAAGTCTTTTTAGCCTAAGAATATTCAAGATCTGCTTTGCCACAAATAGTGAAAAGCAAAACTGGGAAAATGCATTCTGTACCACAGGTCGAACATTTGCTTTTATCTGATAAGATCATCCTTTTTCCTTATTTAAGTTGTGTATATTATGTAGTATCCAGTTACTGTAACAAGTTGAGGATGGAGGTGGAGAAGGAGGAAGGGCAAATAACAGAAACTTTTCATTGTCCAACCCCTAATTGCTCTCTCTTCCTCCCAGTGTCTCCTTTTCTCTTGGGCCGGGCACTTTGGGCTGCCAGTCGGTTCACTGTTGCTATGTCCCCTGAATTGATCCAGCAGTTTCTACAGGCAACAGTTAGTGGTCTTCATGAGACACAACCCCCATCAGTTCGAATTTCTGCCGTGAGAGCCATCTGGGGGTGAGTACACCACCTTAGGGTGATAAGAGAAAATTACTCAGAGTAGAAGTCCCAAACAGCATTTGGCCAGTGGATTATGTTGCTTGGGAATTTCTGATGAAAATCTCCTACCAAATGGCAAACGAATCATATAAAAAAAAAAAAAATCAAGAACATGGCTTCTACGCATGGGTTTGGATTTATGGGAGGCTCGTCCCCCCTGGGCCTCTCATAGTGCCCCATGCCAGAGCAAACTGTGGCCCTGAACCATTGCCTGGCCTCTGTGCCATAGGCTGCAGGCACTGAAGTGGGTCACACAGTGAAAAGAGAAAACAGAGAAAAAAAGAAAGAACATGGCTTCTTTGAGTCCCAGTAGATCTTGTTCCCTTTTGTTCCTCATTCCTTGAAAGTTCACTCCAGCTCTGGAAACATCTAGATCAACTCCCTTTCTTAGAAAGGTGAAGGCTTGAGAGATAAATAACTTGCATAGGATGGTACAGTGAAGAATTACAGAAACACTGGCGCCTGGGTGTCTCTGTTAAGTGTCTGCCTTCAGCTCGGGTCATAGTCCTAGGGTCCTGGGATCGAGCCCCATGTCAGGCTCCCTGCTCAGCTGGAAGCCTGCTTCTCCCTCTCCCACTTTCCCTGCTTGTGTTCCCTCTCTCGCTGTGTGTCTCTCTCCGTCAAATAAATAAAATCTTGAAAAAAAGAAAAGAAAAGAAATTATAGAAGCAGGATTAGAGCCTCTTAGGTCATTTTGTCGATTGATTTTTTTTTTCTGTTTTAGAGACTAAATTTGGGATAACAAGGCTTAGAAACACTGCTTGTTTTTTTCCCAGTTTTACCTCCCCTTTTCACAGCTAATATAATACTAGTGACTCAACTAGTCATTTATTTGTATTCCTACCAAGATCAGAGGGGAGTATTGTTGTTTTAAGAAATATTTTAATGTCCAAACTTAAGAGTCTCAGTTGAATCCTAAAAACAACCTAAAATCCTAAAAATAGAAAATTCATCTTCTACCTACTGCTACTCTCTTCTTACCTTTTGAAACAGATATGCAGATGCTGGGCATTGTTATGTGTGTCTTTAGAAAACATTGAGGGGAAATAATGTATGCAGGACGGCTGAAGAAGATACCCCTCACTTGTCTCCCTCCCTCAACAATAACTTGGCATCTACTGATGGACAACAGTGCCTTTGTGGAAGCTGTGAGATCCAGAGAGGAGCCTGAAACCCCAGTGCTGTCCAAGAACAAGGAGAGCCATTTTGAGAAGTCAGGCTCCCACCCAGCGGCTGATGTATCAACCCTAGTCCTGGCTGTAGCCCCAGACACAGCTCCATGTCCTTAAGGGTTGGCTCCAGCCCCATTTGGCTTGGATTCTATCACCAGCACCACACATCAAGTACCTGGGAGGATCTTACCCAGCAATGTGTTGGACATTAGTAGAAGTACAGACCTCAGTCCCAGCTGCAGACCCTGAAGTAGTCCATGAACTGGCTCCACCCAATCTCAGCTGTGGTCCAGGGACCCCTGGAGAACACAGATTTAGACAATCACGCAAGGATGAGAGAGCCTTTGTGGCAGTCCAGGAGTCCAGCAGAGAGATTCTAGCACAGCCCTGGAGCCAAAGCAGTCCAAGACTAGACACTTTTAAAGACTGCAAGAAGCGGGGCGCCTGGGTGGCTCAGTGGGTTAAAGCCTCTGCCTTCGGCTCAGGTCATGATCCCAGTGTCCTGGGATCGAGCCCCGCGTCGGGCTCTCTGTTCAGCAGGGAGCCTGCTTCACTTCCTCTCTCTGCCTGCCTCTCTGCCTACCTGTGATCTCTGTCAAATAAATAAATAAAATCTTAAAAAAAAAAAAGACTGCAAGAAGCAACCGATACTTCAAATGTGAAGACCACAATGCAAGAAAGACTTCAAGGAACATGAAAAATCAAGGAAACGTGACACCAAAAAAGGTGTAATTTTGGAAATGTAATTTTTGAAATGAAAAAAATGTAATTTTTGAAATGAAAAAAGTAATTTTCCAGTAACTGACCCCAAACACAGAGACGTGTGATATACCTGATAAAGAGTCCAAAATAGCTGTTTTAAGGAGCTCAGCTATAAGAAAACACAAAAAACCATTCAGTGAAATCAGAAAAACAATGCATAAACAAAATGGGAAGTTCAACAGAGAAATAGAAATCATGAAAAAGAACCAAGTGGAAATCCTAGAGATGAAGAATACAATGAATGAAATTTTAAAAAGCAACAGAGACCATCGAAAATGAACAACTCAAGAGGAAGAAAAAAACCTGTGAACTAGAAGACAGGACCTTTGAAATTTTCCACTCAAGGAGGGCAAAGAATAAGGAATGAAAAGGAATGAAGAAAACCTGTGTGAACTTGAGGATACCATTAGGAGAAACCATCTGTGATTTATTGGAGCTCCAGAAGGAGAAGAGAGGTAGAAGGCTTATTAGTTAAAAGGCAGAAAGCTTAGTTAAAAGAAATAATGTCTGAGAACATCCCAAATCTGAAGAGAGATTGTACATCCAAGTTCATGAAGCTAAAATTTCAATTCAAAGTTACCTTTTCCAACATCCGTTATAATAAAACTATCCGTTAGTTTAAAAAAAAAAAAAAAACTGTCTAAAATCAGATGGCTTTTAAAGCAGCAAGAGAAAAATATTTCTCTCATTTATATGAGCTGACTTGGCAGCAGAAACCTTGCAGGCCAGGAGGGAATGCTGAAACAGAACTCTCAACCAAGAGTATGCAGCAAAGATGTCCTTCAAGAATGAAAGCAAGACAAAGTCCAGCAAAGCTGAGGGAATTCTTCACCACTAGATCTACCTTACAAGAAGTGCTGAAAGGAGTTCTTCAAACTGAACTGAAATTAATAATATCAAATATACAACACAGGTAAAGATAAGTGTGTAATAAAAGTCAGAATACTCTAATACTGTTATCTGGCAGTGTGGTAACCACTTAACGCTAAAGGTTAAGGGACAAAAGTATTGAAAATAATTAGCTAAATAATTTGTTAATGAATATGCAATATAAAAAGTTAAATTGTGACATCAAAAACATAAGAGAATGAATAAAGAGTAGCGCTTTTGTATACAAAGTTATCAGTGTGAAATAAACTGTTACATCTGTAAATGTTTTATGTAAGCCTCACAGTAACCACAGAGCAAAAATCTGTAATAGACAACAGAATCAAAGTGTTCCACTATGGGAAATCATAAATTCACAAAGAGAGCAAGAAAGGAAAAAAGGAACAAGGGAACTACAGAAGAGCCAGAAAACAGTTAGGTGGCATTAATAAGTCCTTACTGATCAAAAAAAATTTTTTTAATTTTTTTTGGTGGGGGTTGGGTAGGCTCCATGCCCAGTGTGGAGCCAGCCCAGTGCACTGCTTGAACTCATAACCCTGAGATCAAAACCTAAGCAGAGATAAAGAGTCATAGGCTTAACTGACCGAACCATCCAGGTGCCTCTCAAAAATTACTTTAAGTGTAAATGGATTTAAATCTCTAATCAAGGGACACCTAGGTGGCTCAGTTGGCATCTTGCTTTCAACTTAGGTCATGACCCCAGGGTCCTGGGATCGAGCCTGGCATCAGCATTGGGCTCCCTGCTCAGTAGGGAGTCCGCTTCTCTCTCTCCCTCTGCCCCCCCTTATGCTCTCTCTCTCAAATAAATAAATAAAATCTTTATTTAAAAAAATCTCTAATCCAAAGTCAAGAGTAGCCAAATGGATTTTTTTAAAAAGACCCAACTTGTGTGCTGCCTTTAAGAGCCTCTCTTCAGGACACATGCTCAAAGTGAGGTGATAGAAGATCTCTTCCATGCAAGTAGAAACTAGAACAGAGCAAGGGTAGCTATGTTTCTATCAGATGAAATAGACTTTAGCCCAAAAGCTGTACAAGAGATGGTTGTTTAATGATAAAGGGGTCAATTCAACAAAAGTTACAGCATTTGTAAATATATATACATTTGACATTGAAACACCTAAGTATGTTAAGCAAATACTGACATCTGAAGGGAAAAATCAACAATAATACAGTAATACTAGGGGACTTTAATAACCCACTTTCAACAATGGATAGGTTATCCAAACGGAAATCAGTAAGCATATACCAGACTTGAACTATTCTTTTGACTAAATGGACCTAATAGACATAGAAAGAACATCTTATCCAACAGCACCAGAATAGACCTTCTCAAGCATGCGCAGAACTTCCTCCAGGAAAGGTCACAAAACAAATCCTAGCAAACTTAAGATTGAAATCATACCAACTATCTTTTCCAAACACCGTGAAATAACACTAGAAATTATTTACAGGAGGAGAACTAGAAAATACACAAATACGTTAAAATTAACAAACTCCTAAATAATCAGTGGAAAAAGAAATGAAAAGAAAAACAGGAAAATATCTTGAAATAAAAATGGAAACATAACATACCAAGACTTAAGGGATGCAGCAAAACCAGTTTTATTTTATTTTTTTAATTTTTAATTTTTATTTTTTTTCTCACCACCCCCGCTCAGCAAAGCCAGTTTTAGGAGAGAAGTTTATATAGAGAGATAAGTCTCTACTTAAATTAAGAAAAGAAAAAAAAAAAAAAGATCTCAAACAACTTAACTTTATATCTCAGGAACTAGAAGAAGAACAATAAATGAAGCCCAAAGTTAATAATATGAAGATTGAGTAAAAATAAATAGAGACCAGGAAAACCATGGAAAAAACCAACTAACCTAAGAGCTCCATGTTTTGAAAACACAAAACTGACAAACTAGTTAGGCTAAAAAGATATGAGAGAAGACTCAAATATAAAATCAGAAATGACAGGGTGCCTGGGTGGCTCAGTGGGTTTAACGCCTCTGCCTTCAGCTCAGGTCAGGATCCCAGGGTCCTGGGATCAAGCCCCCCATCGGGCTCTCTGCTCAGCAGGGAGTCTGCTTCCCCCTCTCTCTCTGCCTGCCTCTCTGCCTGCTTGTGATCTCTGTCTGTCAAATAAATAAATAAAATCTTTAAAAAAAAAAAATCAGAAATGAGGGGCACCAGGATGGCTCAGTCAGTTAAGCCTCTCTGACTCTTGGTTTTAGCTCAGGTCATGATCTCAGGGTCATGAGATTGAGACCCAAGTTGGACTCTTTGCTCATCAGGGGAGTCTGCTTGAGGATTCTCTCTGTCCCCCTCCCTCTGCCCCTCAAGGTCCTGCTTGCACATATGTGTGCGCCCTCTCTCTCTCTAAAATAAATAAATAAATGTTTTTTAAAAACCAGAAATGAAAGAGGAGACATTATAATTGATATCACAAAAATGC